CACTGCTGCAAGTGGCAGTGGCGCCAGCTGGAAGAGCCAAGGGAAAATAAGTGTTGCAGCTTCAATTCAAACTTCCTGGCAAGAAATCATCAATGTAACAGTGAGGCAGAAGTTCAGTGAATGCAGAATCTATTTCATTTTTTTAAATCAAGGCTTTGGCCTTTTGTAGCAGCATCCAAGTTATTGGTCCCTTGCTGGACTTCACAGTCATCAGCCCTGCTTGCCTGAGCCCAAGGGGCGAAGAGGGCCTGCGCAGCCTGGAATTGGTAGGCAGGGAAATGGAAAGTGTTGGAAATGTCCTCTTCCAGGATTCCTTGTGCCTGCCTACAGGTAATCTCTCTGCACAGACAGGCATCAGGCAGGCACCAGGTGAGCTCAGTGGCTTCCGGTGAAATGTGCTGGAGCAATGTAGTTTGGGATTTCTGTCCGGCAACGGTGACAGCTGCCAAGCAGAGACTTGTTCGTCCAATTGAGGAATGGGAGCTGGAGCCTCATGGATCAGCTCTTCCATCTAGAGGAACTGGGCTGCCTGCTCCCAAAGCACGTCCGACCATAAGTCTCAGACTGCTTTCTGGAAGGAAATCAGGATTTCTCACATTGGATTCACACCAAAACAGTAGTGCAGCAGCAGAGGTGTGCTTGTGTATGCTGGGCACCACCTACCCGAAGATGTGGACCACCGGTGATACCTTCACCAAAATGTACAGCCTCAAATGATTGTGAGCAGAAAATGACTTTCTGCAGAGATCAGGAGGGAACTGTAAGCACCGAGTTCTGGATACCCTTGTGCTTCTAATGTTTCTTTGTCATATGTTCCAACCTTACACTTGACCTTTTTAAAGATATTTGAACTCTGATATTTGAATATTTTTAGCTGTGGATTTGGTTAACTCTTGTGAGTACCTGAATCTCCCAGATCTCTAGGGAGGCAGCTCGGACAGCGTGGGAAGGATTGTCTGAGAGCTGGCACGTGTGGTTGGGTGCTTGGAGCAGTCTGCTGGCCCCTGCTTTAAGCAGCAAATTTTGCTTCTGAGTGTTGCTGAGCTTGGCTCCACTAAACAAGGCTGCAAAAGCAAGTGGAGACACCAGCATGTCTGTTGGGAAGATGAAGCTGCAGATGCCACAGCCTTGCAGTTTGAATCTGTCTGTTTGCAGATGCTCTCACTCAGCAGTCCTCACAGAAAAGAAAGCTGTAGTTTAGTCCCCGCCCAGGCTGTGCTGCTGCTGCTATTTTAAGGCATTTTAAAGACTTTGTGCCCAACTTCCCAGTATAAAGTTTGGCCTCTGTTGCATTTGCTTCCCATGGGGTGCAGGAGCAGAGCTCTGTGGAGGAACTGGCCTGTTTGCTGGCTTCAGTAGGTATCTGGGAGGCAGATGGCTTCCTCCTTGGCATGCTTTGGGCAGCACTGCTGGCACTGGCTCTTTCCACCCTGAAAACCGGGAGCTCCTCAAAACAGGGAACTTTCAGGGACCCCTGTTGAGATGCCAAGGTCTGCTTGCAGAGGCCAGAATAAATGGCACCTCGCCACCCTAACGTAGCAACAGAGACAAGTAAAGGCTTGTTCGGGGACCAAAACACCCTGATGGCACTTGCTAAGCTGGGAGGTGAGATTGTCACCACCAGTGGGGATTGCCAGTGGTGGTCTGCCCAGTTGCCTAACTGGGAGCCCAGAGCATCAAGCTGGTTGGTGAGTGGCTCTTGCGGAAACTGGTCACGTCCCCCCAGGGGTTTTGGGGAGTCCTCGTGGCTGACAGGCCTTGGGGCTGCTGTGCTCCCACAGGCCATTCCAGGTGTCCCCTCTGAGGCTGTGCTGGCTGTGTGGAGCCCCACGGTGGCTGTTTCTCCTGCAGGTCGGCACACCTGGTGTCGCGGTACCGCCCGCGGGCCCCCATCATCGCCATCACCCGCAATGAGCAGACGGCGCGCCAGGCCCACCTGTACCGCGGCATCTTCCCCGTGCTCTGCAAAGACCCTGCCCAGGACGCCTGGGCTGAGGACGTGGACCTGCGCGTCAACCTGGGCATGAATGTCGGTGAGTGGCAGCGCTCCCCCTCCCCTGGCACACGGCTCTGGCGGCACGTGGTGGCCCTGAGCACCTAGGTCATACTTTGGGGTCACTTGATAGGGACTTGTGATGGGAAGAGAGGAACTGGCTGCCTGTGTGGTAACTGGATCTGGACAGGAAACGGGCGGTGGTTGCTTGAGTGAAAGCACGTCCGATTGGGAAGTGGGGTGGTGGGTTTGGTGCAGCTGCCTTTAAGGAGTTTCCAACAGGCTTTATGGTGGTGAGTGATGGAGCTGTGACACTCATTCCTGAGGAACAAGGGAGGCCTGGAGTGGGGTTGACTCTGTCTTGCACCCCCTCCAAATCCTGTGCTGTGGAATTTTGAGCTCTGTCGCAGAGAAGGGTGTCAGATGGGTGGGCAGCAGGGAAGTGGGGTTTTGATACTCTCCTGGTGCCACGACTACCATGACACAGGCAGCCTCGGTGACTTGGGGAGCAGGTGATAAGCACTGCTGCCCCATGGCAAGGAGACAGGGTGGGAGACTGGGTTCTGATGCCTCCCTCTTCTCTCCTAGGCAAAGCTCGAGGGTTCTTCAAGACCGGTGACCTGGTGATCGTGCTGACGGGCTGGCGCCCTGGCTCTGGCTACACCAACACCATGCGGGTGGTGCCCGTACCCTGAGCGCCCACTGGGCCTTCCTTCCCCTGCCCCCCTCCCCTCCCACCGCCTCACTCCCCTCCCACTGCTCAGTCTCCCCTTGCAGTAGACCAGCCATCGCTTGCGCTGTTCTCCTTGTCCCTAGAGTGGATGTAGGTTGCTAAACACCACCCAGTGCAGCAGCAGCAGGGGCAAGAGACCTTAAATCACTAAAAAAAAATATACTTGAAGTGTTTAGTTTTTTAAAAAACCTCTTCCTGTAGTTAAAGTCCTGCCTTGATATGTGTTGGAGTCAGCGTAGGAGGTTCCTGCGTGCTGCTGGGACTCCTCTTTCCTGGTGACTGTCCTCGGGCTGTGAAATGTCCCTTTCCCTGGCCCTGGTGTGGGGTTTTGGGGAAGGGGAGAGGCAATGTGTGGTCAGCCGTTCTACTGGACCCCTCCTTGCTCGAGGCAAGCTGCTACTCCCCCCTCCTGTACACGCCTCCCCAGACCCAATCCAAGGCAGATGCAGCCTTTCTCAGCTGGTGGTTTTGGGGACGGGGGCAGGGGAAGGGTGTTGGCTCCATGCACAGAGCTTCCCGTGCTCCCCTCGCAGCGTTGTCTCCTGTGTTAGTCGTGTCCCCCCACCACCCCAGAGCCCCCCCTCACCCAGCACTCCGATGGGCCCTGGGGTGGGAGAGCACAACTGTCCATCAATAAAGAGAAGCTGAAGCACCTGCCGGGCTGAGCTGCTCCTTGAGGGTTGGCAGGGGGTCTGCAGGGGTCGGGGGAGATCTGGTGGAAAAGGGCTGCGGGAGCTGGGGAGGTCTGCAAGGGGGGGGAGCGCTTAGGGTTCGGGGTGGAGTCTGCAGGGCTTGGGATGTCTGGGATCTGCAGGCATTAGGGGGGTCTGGTGTGGGGGCCTGCAGGCTCTGGGGGGAACTGCTGCGGTTTGAAGGGGGCCCAGTGCAGTAATTCGCTAGGGTTGGGGGTGCTTGCAGGGGGTGGAAGGGCGCCACAGGGGTTTGGGGTTCAAGGGAGGGATCGCCCGGGCTGCAGGCATCTGTTGGAGTGGGGTGGGGGCCAAAGGAGGAGTCAGTAGGGTTGAGGGCTCTACAGGCGTTTTTCGGGGGGGCTCTCTGGGAGCTGGTATTTCCGTGCTTGGGGAGAGAGCCGGGACGGGACCTGGCTGACACCCAGGCCGGTTTCCCCGGGAGCACACGGCTCGCTCCCCGCGTGGCCTGAGACCTGCCCGGAGCGGAGGAAGGCCGGAACCCGCCCGCCGCGCGGCCCCTTTAAGAGCCGGAACCCGTCAGGCTCCGGCCCTCACGGTGGTGGGCGGGGCCTGTGGGGGCGGGAGGTGGTGCTCAGTGTGGCGGGAGCGGGGCTGGGCGGTGGGCGGCCAATGGGCGGGCGGAAGGGGGCGGGGCTCGGCTGAGTGCGACCAATGGGCGAGGGAAAAGGGGCGGGGCTGGGCAGCACGCTACCAATGGGCGGGAGAGAGGGGGCGGGGCTAGGGAGCGTGCGGCCAATGGGCGGGCGCCGTGGCGGCGCGAGGAGGTCGGTGCGCGCGGGGCCGCGCGCAGGTAGCGGGGGGGCCCGGGGGCTCCGGGACTCGGGGGGAACCCGGGACTGAGGGGGGCTGGGACCGGGAAGGGGCTCGGGGCCGCAGGGTGCCGGGGGCGCGTCTCTCCCGCCGCCGCCGCGGAGCCGGTGCTGCCCCTCGGCCTGTCCCGGCCGCCGGCGCCGCGCTGGGGGGAGCGCGGAAACACCGAAACCCCCCTCGCCCATTCCCTGAAGGGACGGACCGGACCGGACCGAACCCGACCAGGCCGGGCCGGGAGGGAGTCCCGCCGCTGCCTGCCGGGGACCCGCCGGCTTCGCCCGAGGGGCTCCGAGCGCGGGCGGGGATGGGATCTGCGCCGGGGCTGCCCCGGGCGCGGCCCCGGCGGTGGCCGAGACCCACAGCGGCACCGTGCCCCGCACGGCCCCGGGGGTCACCGCCCTCCGCGCTCCCTCCGTGCCCCGGGGCGCTCGGAGCCGCTCCCGGTGAGACCCAGCGCCCCGGGCGCCGCGGACATCCCGGGACCGGGGTCTCGGCTCTGTCCCGGCCGTGACCCCCAGGCTCCCGGGGCGGGGAGCACCGGGGACACCGCGGGAGGGACACGCGGGGCTCCCTCCGGCCTTGACGTCGCGCCTCGTTCTCTCCCGCCAGCGCCGCTCGGCTCCGGCCGTTCCCTTCCAGCATCCCGGGGTGGCTCCGCTCCAGCTCCGACACGCGGGACTGAAATGACCTTGGACGCCGGGACCAAGGGCAGCTCGCCGAATCCCGCCCGGGCTCGCTGGGGCCGCGGCCGCCCGCCCGCCGGTGCCTCCCTCCGCCTCTGAACCTCCTGGGCTTTGCTGAGAGGCGGGATCCCTGCCCGGCTCGCTCCGTCCCTGGGGAAGGGATCCAGCGGAAATCGCTCGCCGACGGAGGGGCTCGCGCCGGACCTTTTCCAGGCTGGATCCCAGCGCCGCGTAAGGGAAGGGAGACGCCGATCCCGTGGGAGGGAGAAGCACCGGGTTTCGCCTGGCAAAACCTGGGGGTTCGGGGAGCCGGTGTGGGCGGGGAGGGGGCATCAGGAATGGACGAAGGGGGCACCAGATCGCTGGTTTTTGCTTTGCTGGGAACTTCTACACCCGCCCTCTCTGTCTCCTCTCAGGAGCTCTGAACACGAATCTTTCTCGTTCCACTTGTATTTTGGGACACTAGGGATGGTGAGTTTACCTCAGGAGCGGCTTCCTGCTGAACAAATTCTTTGAGGAGGGTGACAGTATGAGCTGCTAGAAACTGTCTTCCTCACTGTGCTGGCACTGGAAGCACCTCTTGGAAGAGAAACCTCCCTGTGCCTGGAGCCCAGCCTTATCCTGTGCTCCCAAACTCTGGATGTGTATGCCTGATGCATCTAGGAGCCAGGATGGAGCAAGAGCTGGACAGAGGAGACAAAGTAGCTCCTGCAATGTCCCTACTGGGACTGAAGATGCTCCTCACAGGCCCCAGACTCTCCCTGGAGCATCCCATTGCCAATGCTGTGTCCAGGATCATTTTACCCAGGAGTTGTCCCTGATGGTGGCCATCAGAGGGAGAAAAAACAAGGATGCAGTACTTTTGAGTGCTTTCCAGCCTGTGTTTTTTCTCATTTTAGGGGATTTCTGTGTGTTTGGTGACCTCAGAGGGGTTGTGATGCCTTTGCCTCTCCCCGGTCCCTGTGTGGTGCCCCTCGGTGTCAGCGTTGGTTAGGGATAAATCCGCTCACCCGGATTAAGCCGTGCAGGCACTTGGGGATTTAAGGGATGACGTGAGGGAAGCCAGAGAGTGCTGAGCTCTGACAAGGAGGCTCCAGATCAGGTCAGAGCCCCTTTTCCAGCATGGGAGAAGGGCAGATGAAGGCTTTGGTGCCTCCATGATAGGAGTTTCAGTTTCAGAGCATCATGACATCCCCTGGTAGAGGATGCCCTGAGGAGTCAGGCAGGGAAAACACCTTTTGTGGCATGCCAAGGGATGTTATTTGGTGCTTCTTGTCAGTAAGGTCTCCTTTCCTTTCCTGACACATCCTTTGACCTGAACTCCTAAAAACCCACAACCTTGGCTTGTCCATCCCATCCCTGCAGCGCTCGGACTCCAGGGCTGTGCAGGCAGCTCCTTGCCAACAGTGGCTGTGGGGATCCAGGAACTATTTCCCAGCCTGTTTCAAATCACACAGCACCAGGGACTTCTGCTTGGTTCTCCTGTGCCCCCACTGTATGTGTTTCCTGTGGTGGGAGCATTCCCTGTGCCTCCACCTGGGAGTCAGCCGGGCTCCGTTGCACCCGGACAGTCTTTTGGTCAGGGCTCTGGGGCTGTGAGGATGTGGGAGCTCATGTGCCTTCAGCTCTCAGCCCATTTAGGCTGAGATCCAGCTGGGATCCAGCTGCTGGGATCCAGCACCCCTATCCTGCCTCTTCCCAAGTAAGGGGAGATTATTTCCATGGGTTTTCCTTCAGATGAGCCCCCCAGAGCAGGAGCAGGATGTGTCTGGGGAAGTACAGGTGGTGAAGGAGCCGCTCTCAGAGTGTGGGAAGTTTGACTCCTCAGCCTGGGCTCTGCTGCAGTGCCACGGCAGCATCCCCGCGGGCACCGGGATGCGCTCCAGCTCTGCGCTCATCCTGTCCTGCCTGCGCCCCACCTGCTCTGCCATCACCCCCTGCCTAGTCAGCTGAATATTCCCTGGAATAATTTCCTCTCCATGGGTCTGTGGCTGTTTGCTGGCTCTGTCGTGCCACCGGTCCCCTGGGATCGTGCTCAGCTTGGCTGCCAGTGCTGCGGCAATCTCCACCGAGGGTGGAAGTGTCACCTTTGTGGCCTGCCAGGTGATAACCTGCCCGCGGCGCTGAGCCCGTGTTTACTTAGCCTGCCGTGGCTGATAAGCACCTCTGATAACATTCCCGATGGTAAATAACCAGCTCTAACCTGCCTGCTGGTGGCTCTGCCCTGGGAAGATGGTGTTTTGCCGACCAAGAGGAGCAGACCCTGGCTGAAATCCATCCCCCCAAGGAGTTTCATAGAGCTGTGGTTTTTCCCATCCCTACCTCCAGCCCTCAAGGAGGAGAGTCTCTGCTTTGGAGGGTGTTATCCCAGGGAGCCACAGCAATTTGGCCACTCTGTTGTGAGTGCTGGGGAGTCCCTGGCAGAAAAACGGCTTTTTTTTTTTTTTTTCTCCACGTGACTTGAGAAATAGCAGGAATATTCTTGCTGTCCTTGAGCGGCAGATTCTGAGGTCTCTGTGCAGGCTGGGATTGAAGGGAACAGATTTACAGCTCCAGACCCCCTTTTTCCCTTTCCCTAGGGCGCTAATGGGTGTCTTCTTGCAGTGCCACGCCGATGCATGAGAAGGCAGCTCCCCTGAAGAGCCCCGAGCCCAGGCACAGTCGTGAGAAGCTGGAGGTGTCCCACAAGCAGAAGAGTTTGGATTCCCTCGACGGCAGGTGAGGAGCAGCATCCCGGGGTCTGTCTGCGGTTGAGTGTTCTCTCTTTTCCCTCCTGCTGTGGCATTCCTGCTGCCTTCGAGCCCTGAATACTGCCTGCCAACTGGGGCAGGGCACAGCGGGGGCCCAACTTTGTTTTCTCCCTGAAATATTGTGGGTTTAAAAGAGGGAGGTGAAAGGGGTTTGGGGAAGGGGATGGTTTTCCCACTGCTGAGGTTGTTTGTAGGATATTGCTCCCTCCATGGTTTGTCCTTTCATCTGTCCGTGGGACGGACGTGGATGGATGTCCCTGTGCACGGCCGAACCTGAGTCCACCCTCCTGCTCAGGCACATTCCCAAATTCCTCCCTCTGCTTTCCCTCAGCTTTGCCCCAGCCAAAGCTTCACATTTCCAGCTCCCAACCTGTCACAAGCTGCTGCCAGGTCAGCTCTGGGCTCCTTCCCCCGGGGCTGGGGTGTGAGTGAGGTACCTTGGTCCTGGTGCCTTCAGTGGTTCTCATCAGAGATCAGCCCTCAGCAATGCCCAATGCCATGATAAATCATGGAGACACCCAAAATGTGGCATCCTGGGGTCTCTCTTCAGTTCTTTACATTTTTCCATGTCTCATATTGCAGTACACATATTTTAAGGAGTGGGTGAGAGACCTGTAACTCTTTGCTTACCTGGTGATTATTGTTTTTCCTTCCAGCCTCCGCCTGAATGAAACCCTCAAGGATGAGGACATCAAGAAATGCCACCGGGAAGTGGTAAGCCTTTGGCTTTGGGGATGACCAGGCTGGTGTGTTGTAACCTGTTGTCCCAGGAGGAGCCCACCTGGGGTCTCAGGTGTGGGCTGAAGGGGCTGGAGGCAGCCTCTGCTGTGGGGTGGGGCCTCCTGCACTTAATTTCAGGAGACCTGGTGATGTTTTTGTCTGGCCCATGTTCTGCCTTGCAAACGCTCCCAGGATTTTCCATCTAGAGCAAAGGAGAAAGTGGAAACGTTGACTGAGAGCAGTTAAATTCTTGTCCATTTGAACCTTTTTGGTTGTTCAAAGCACACCCAAACTAGATGTTTTTGGTCCACCTACAGATTAGAGGTGCTCTGGAAGAGGAAGGAGTGACAGGAAGTGGCATTTTGCCTCTCCCCACAAAGAAAATGGAGGAGAAAACCATTTCTTTTGATTTCCTCAGAGGCATCTGGGCAGGTGACAGGCCCAGCAGTGGATGTGTGCTGGGACCAGGGGGTGTTTCTTGGTGCTAATGCCCTCCATGTTCTCTTGGAACGCTCCCCACTGGCACCCCCACCGTCCTGAAGTCCCTCTGGGAGGTGTCTGAGCCAGCTCCAGGTGCTGCTGAGTCTTGATCCTCTTAGGGCCCGGCTCATCCGGTGACAAGGTGCGCAGAGCAAAGGTGACCTTGTACCTGTGGGCAGGAGGGCTCTGCCCGCGCGGCTGCCACGCACCAGCCTTGCTGTGCCAGCCTTCTCTGCGTCCTGGCGGAGCAGCTCCTCCCTTGGAATTTGGGGGGCAGCTGAATCCCTGGGGAGCATCCCGGGGACAGGGGGCACAAAGCTGCCTTACGGGCCCGGCTGGGCGGATTCATGGAAGGCGTCTGGAGCTTTACCTTCACCACGGGAGCGCCGCGGGGCCGACCTGCCGAGCCTCCTGCCGCGGCTGCCGGCAGGCTTTGAAGCGGCGCTGGGAATATAAATAGCTGGATGGCGCGGCACGATGGGCGCAAAGCAAGTGTTGTCACTGTGTCCCGGATAAGGGAAGAGGAGGAGGAGGAGGAGAGAAACCGCTGGGCAAAATAAACTGCCTGCAGATGAGCCTGGCAGAAAAGCGGCTCCTCGCCGAGGCTCAGCAGCCTCCGTAGATATTAAGGGAAATGTTCATCTGGGAGGATGGCACAGCCTTCGCCGGGTGCTGGATCATCCAACCTTCCTCTAATCCGTCGGGGCTCCCATTCCCAGCCCGGTGGGACCCCCCTGCGCCGGTCCCGGGTGCGGGCAGAGGGAGGTTTTCTTGCAGAGAGGGGTTTTTGGGTCTCTTTATCGGCAAGGTCACCAGATAACTTTGCTCTGCTTTGCTTTCAGGCTGCTAGCAAGTACAACTCCCAGTACCACAAGCTGTTCAAGGACATCCCGACGGAGGAGAGCGTGCTGAAAGGTGGGTGGCAGGGTGAGGGATGGGCATGGAGGTGGCAGGATCTGGCACAGGGATTGCTACGGCTCTCTGCCTTGCAGTTTGCTCCTGCGCGCTCCAGAGAGACATCCTCATCCAGGGAAGGCTTTACATCTCCCCCAACTGGCTCTGCTTCTACGCAAACCTTTTTGGGAAGGACATTAAGGTAATGTGGGCACCAGCTCACCCTGGTCCCTCAGGGCTCCTACCCAGAGCTTATCCCTTCCTGCCCCCAAATACCACCAAAATCCCCAACAGAAGCCTCCGATGGGAAGGGGAGCACGGCCGTGCCTCCCTCCCCTGATGCCACCACAGTCATCAGCCTGGGGAAACCAAGTACTGGTTTGGTTTAAAATTCCCTGTTGCAAAACCTCCTTCGAGCCGCAGTGGCGCTTGAAGGGAGATCAAAGGTTTAAGGGGGGTGAGATTTGGATCTCTCTCGGCTTTTCTTCTTGATTTACAATCTGATGTTTCCCCATTAGTCTTGTGGCTGACGGGGATCTTGGGGAGAGATGACTTCCTTTAAAACTGGGATGAAGGACTGAATTATTTATGTGATGCTTTAAACAAATACCTGAAGGAAGCTCAAGGTTTCAGCAAAGTTACCCTGCCAAAAATAACATCCTGCCTTATTTTTCACCCCCCCTGGACTTGCATGGGGGGCTCTCCTGGTGGGTCTTAGGGAGGCTGGCTGGATGATGCTTGTGCTGTGTCCATCCCTGTGTTCCTGCCCTGCAGGTTGTGATCCCAGTGGTGTCTGTACAGCTGATAAAGAAGCACAAGACTGCTCGGCTGCTGCCCAACGGCCTGGCCATCACCACCACTGCCAGCAGAAAGGTAACACCAGCACCCAGCAGATGCCCAGGTCCAAACTGGACGTGGTTTGAGAGCAGTGAACGAAGCGATTCCCGTCCCCGGTTAGGAAGTGAGCACTGCTCTCTGTGCTGGCTGCCAGCCAGGGCAAACACCACAGCTTTGCTTTTGTTCCTGAATTTCACTTTGTTCCTGGATGAAGCAAAACCCAAGTGAAACTTGGCCGAGCCTGACAAATCCCTGCCAGGCTCACCTTTAAACTCCTTAAGCACAAGCAGGGAAAGGGTTTGGGCTGGCGTTCAGCCAGAGCTGGCGGAAAACTCGGACGTGGGGCTGCGTTTCCAGCTTTTAAATCCCGTTGGATGTTGTTGGCTGCGGTGAGCTGATGTAGTGTGTCCAAGTCCTCGCCTGCCCAGGTGCTGCTGCCAGCACTGTGTGTTGCCTGTCCCTGCCAGGGATGGGGTTGTTCCTGCAGGATTTTGAGAGGCAGTTATTTGGGAGGTGGGCTTTAGCAGGGGGTGGCACAGGGCAGGATTTGGGCATTCGAAGCCATGTGTGGCTGCCCTGCACATCACGCAGGGGCTCTGTGTCAGGCATGGTGAGTGTGGCCCTGTGTCCCTTCCGTCTCTGGGGATGTTTTCTGTAGGTCCTGGCCCCATTTGCTGCTGTGTCCCTCTTGGTTGAGCAGGGGAAAGCTGTAGTAACAGCAACTGAGCAAGACTGGCCCCAAAAAATCTGGTCCAGGTTTTAGCAGGCTGCAAAAATAACAGCAGGGAAGCTCCGCAGGGAAATGCCTGTGGGGGAGACGTGGCTCCTGAAAACAGGGAGATTCAAGGGCATGACGTCTCTGCATGTCCCTGCCTGTGGAGAACTGGACTTGGGATGGGGGAATCTCTCCCAACAGCTCGCCTTTTTCTCTTGCAGTACATCTTTGTATCCCTCATCTCTCGTGACAGCGTCTATGATGTCCTGAGGAGAGTCTGCACCCACCTGCAGGTACCCCCGCTCTGTGTCCCATGGCCCTGGGGCTCTGCACCTGCCCTTTGGGCTGAGCACAGCTCTTCATCATTGCCTCCAAGGCTTTGGACTGCTCCCAAAGTCCTCTCCAATTCCCAGCATCCTCACTCCACAGCAAGCGATGGGAAGAGGGGCAGGAACCATGCCTTGGGCATGTCCTGTCCCCGTGGGCTTTTCTGGGTCATGGATGAGGCAGAGCCCTGAGTTTCTGCTCTCTCTCAGGGTGTGGGTATGAATTATTTATAATCTGGTGGTAATACTAGTTCTGCCACTCTGCATATTGATGCATTTTGCCCAGATCTAAAGTTTTAAGGGGAGGAAAAATGGTACAAAGTTAAAAAAGACTTTAAATTAAGTGGGGGAAGACATCCATCAGCCCTTGAGCTGGACAAGATGACTGTGGGGACCTCTTCTCCCTGACTTTGAAGCACGTGGGAAGCTGTGCAGGAGCCCTGCCCTTCCCAGCAGGGTGTGTGCCGGCTGTGCCAGGGCAGTGATTTGGGTGATTCAGCCCTGTTGCCAAACTGGGGGATTTATCCTTTGAAATGTGCTAGGCTCTGCCCAGATGTACCCTTCTTTTTTTTACCCCCTGATGTTTTATCCTGTCCATGGGAGCCCTTGGCTCAACCATGGCCCCACCGGGTTTTTGGTGAGGGGAAGCAGTGATGCACTGCCCTTTCCTCATGCCCCAAATCCCCATGGTTACAAATTCTAGCAGCTGCTCTCCATAGTCTCAGCAGAAAAGCCCAAATCCCATTCTGTGGCCGAGGCTGGAGCAGGGAGAGGTGGCACTGTAATGCCCAATCCTTTTCCCCCATCTAGGTTTCCAGTAAGAAGAGCTTGAGTCTGAAGGAGCTGTCGGAGGAGCCGGACTCCGTGTCACTGGTGAGGGTCAGGGCACCTCTGGGAGAGGAGAGACGCCCCTGACCTCATGCTGTGGGTGGAGAGGGCCCACCTGGTCCCCTTGGTGGGTTTGACACCGTCTGGTGGCTGCTCAGAGAGTCGGGAGAGCATCAGTTCTCCTGTCGGTGCCATCAGAGGTTGTGCGAGGCCGTGCCTGTTGCCATCACAGCTTGTCCTCTGGGACCCTCATCCCCAGACTTGGCAGGAGCAGATGGGTCAAGAGGATCCAGCTGAGTACAGCCAGTGATTGTTTATAGACAGAAAAACTTCAGAGTGATGTGGAAAATGCCTCCACTCCGCTCCCTGACAGCTGATGCTGTTCAGAGCTGGGATTGTGGTTGAGTTATCCCTGTGGGATGGGTAGAATGGTGGGAGAGAGCTGAACCATGGCATGATCCAGGGAGCACAGGGTGGGGCCACAGCCCCCCTCACCACGGCTGCTGGTCCTGAGCCTCAGGATGGGTGCAGGAGGTGACAGTTGGGGTGCACCAGAGGGTGACAAGTGTCACCCATGGTCTGGTGACATCCCAGGGGTTAAAGATTCATTTCAGGGGCTGCAAGGCAGACCTTGCAGCATCTCCTGGTGCTTTGGTGGGATGCAGCCCTTTGGCAGCTCCAGCCCTGGGAACTCTCCACTGGGGGAGCCCCTCTCTGTGCCAGCTGCCACCCCACTTGATTTGTTGTCGTTTTGGGGCACTTTTTTTCCCTATTTGGGGCATGCTGCAGAATTCCAGGTGACCACCCTGAGCTTCAAGGGGTGGAGGAGGCAGCAGCAGGTATTTGGGGCAGGTGTGGGGTGCGTGGGCAGGTCTTTCCATGGTAGTAGGAACCTGCATTCCCGTGGAGCCATCATGGAAAACCAGCTCTCCCCCAGGATGATGTTTTGAATGTGCTGGTGCTCCATGGAGATGCTGTGAGGTTTGAGTTTGAATCTGGTCCCACCATATCCATGGCACTGCTGGTTTCATTCATGGCTCACCAGGATTGTTCCTACAGGAGGTGATTGTCCCCGAGGGCAAGTGGAGGAAGGTGTCACCTACCTCACTGTCACTGTCACTGCCAGATGCCAACTACCAGTGCATCCACCGGACCTCTGTCAGCAGCCTAAGCGCCAAGGAGAGCTCCTTCACCTCTGAGGAGCCACTGGTTTCAGGTGAGGGACATGGTTTTGTGCCCTGCTCCACATGGTACGGGGTGATAACCTCCATAAAAGTGTGTTCATCCATCCTCTGCTCTCGTGCTGGGGAATTCTGCCTTGCAGATTAGGCTGGGAGTCAGCGATGGAATCCTGGGGATGGGCTGGGGTCTCCTGCCTGCAGGGTCTGAGCCCATGAGGGATAGAAATTTTATGTTTTCTGATTGCTGGAGGAGCAGGAGCATCAGCCAAGTGTGGCTGTGATGCTGACTCTGGGTTTGCTTTCAGAAAGTGCAATAAATACTGAGGAAGAGCTGGAGGTGGAGCAGAGCTGTGTGGCAGAGCTGAGACCCTCCGACTACCAGCTCCTGAAGATCTTCATCGTGCTGTAAGTGTGCTGAGGGCGCAGGGAAGCTGGGGGGACACCAGGAATGTTGGTCTCAGTCTCAACTGGATGTTTGGCTTGTTCTGCTCCCAGCATCTGTCTCCTGGTCGTGTCCTCCTCATACCTGGCGTTCCGCATCTTCCGTCTGGAGCAGCAGCTCTGCTCTCTGAATCGGGATTACCTCTCCCGCGGGCACAGGAGGTGAGGGACCCTCATGGACGTTTTGGGACACACAGGTCGTGCCATGAGTGGAGGACTTGAGTGAATGTGGGTGAAAAGAGGAATGGCTCCACTCTGTGATGTGTCTGAGGAATGCTTTGTCCCTTATCCTGGGCTTGCTGTTGGGCTGGCCAGTGACAGAACCCACAGTGCCATCTCCACACTGGAGGTGATCCCATCAGCTGCTGGTGTGAACGACTGGGAACCTCTGCTGTCCCTGAGACTCTGGAGCTTGGGAAGAGGTTTCCTCATTGGTTTGGTGCTGGTTCTCCTGTTGTAGGAAGCACCAGGACATCTCGTTGGAGCTGGGCTGTTCCTGGGGGCCATGGGCATCTTCTGCATTAGATGGACAGGAGGGGAATCTCCTTGGGCTGAGGACATCAGAAGGCACCGGGATGGGATACGGAGTCTCTGCAGTCACTCATCCCAACTTACCCCACTCCCTGCTTACAGGTGACCGTTCCCCAGGCGCTGGCTGAGGATGGACACTGAGGCAGTGGCACCCTGCCCACGGATCCCGGTGCTGTGTCCTCCCAACCGTGGCTGTTACACGTGGTCCGGCTTTCTCTCGGCCGGTAAAATGGGACCAAGTATTTTCTCTCTTCCTTCGGGCACTCGCTCCTGGTGGGACTTTCCAGCCAGCTTCTGGCCACCAGTGCCAACTCCCCATCCCACTGGAAACCTGTTTTCTCCCTGGGACACTGCTGTGCTGTAGCACTGGACAATGGCTCGAGGCTGCCGAGCACTTGGATCTTCCCTTAGGACTTGCTGCTAAAATGGATGCTGGTTTTTATTTCAGGCTTGGTTTTTTCATGTTAAAAGATGACCTTGGGCTGACCAGGAACCCCCAAAAATGTGGATGAGTTGCCACTGCTGCTCTGGGAGAAAGCCACCTATTTGTCCCTGTCTCAGCATCCCTGGGAATGTCCCTGGAGGAATGGCCCTGAAGACAGGGATCTGTGGGGATGGGGGGAAAGGGCCCACTAGCCCTGTGTGGTGTCATCTATCCCACACACAAGGGTGGGGGTACAAGGCAGGGCCCCCCAGTCCTTCTCTCCTGGAGCACCAGGCTCAGAGAGCAGGGGGATGTGTGTGTGTCCCTTGCAAAGCACTTTAAGGTCCCCCAGACCAGGTGTCCATGCTGGGTTCCACACCTGGCCCAGGTGTGCTCAGCCCATGGAGGCGTTGGAAAGGAGCCCATGGCTGGCACTGGGGAATGGCCTGGAGAACAGCGTCTGTGCCTGGTTCATGTTAACCTTCCACCACATGGAGCTGAGTGCTGCAGGATTTGTCCTGCAGGATTTGTCCCACAGCCCCCCTGGAGCACACTGGGGCAGCAAGTGATTCCTGTGGCATTCCTTCGGGTTTTCTTTCCTGTTTTTTTGGAACTACAAGTGCTGACGGGGCCAAATCCCAGCGCCCTGGGGAAGAGCTCGCTGCTCCCTCCGGGCTTGGAACGGCTTTTAAATGAAATGAAAATAAACCCAGGAGTTTCTAGCACATCACTATTTCTCACCAGCGTCCTCCACAGCAGTGTTAGGCTGTGAGCCCCAAAATCAGGCACCCCAAAATCTGTGATGTCCCAGTGTCCCTTCAGGATGTGCATGTCCTCTCACGGGGACAGGGATGCTCCCGACCGAGGGGCCAAGGTTATTGCACTAGATGGCAGCAGAGACTGCGGGATGTGACCTGCTGGTGGCAGGGCCACCCTGGGGACAGCGGTGCCGGGGGAAAGGAGCTGAGTTGCGGCCCCACCCTGCTGGGGTGGGCAGGGTGAGCCTTCCTTTTTCTCCTCCTCCTCCCTGCACATCCATTAAATTCCATTCCTTACCCTGGCCTGGCCCATGCAGCAAAATGCGTGAAAATGGCCCAGCTTGAAACCACGGTAGCATTGGTTAAGTGGGGACAAGGGGTGGTGTCACCTGTTTTGGGCGGGGTTTGGTAGCCGGGGGTGCCTGGGAGGGATGGTCTGGTTTCTTCAAAGCCCTGGCATTATGGGGCTGTCAGAACCTTTGATTCCGTGGGTGATCTGGAGGATGAAAGGCGCCATCCTGTCCCTGCCAGGGACTCACCCAGCTCGTTTACCCGGTGGAAATGGGTTTAGGGTTGTTTTTCCAACAAACGAGTCGGTGTTTAGTGGGTCCAACCTCAAAGTGAGGTTCTTGGCCCCAAGAAGAGGTTTAGAGGACTGGGGCAGGGGATTGGTCTGATGTGCTCAGCCTGGTGTTTGGGTGCTCCAGCAGCAGGTGCTTAGGGTCCCTGTGCTGAGCCCAAGCCAGGAACGTGGTCTCCTCTAAGGACTCTGGTTAAAAACAGTGGTGGGACAAGCCACGAATGCGGTGACACATAGGAGATTTGGAGGAGCACTGGGGTGAACCCCCAGCGTGTTTGGGGGGTCCCTGCTGCCAGGATGTGGTTGGAAGGCTCTGGTTTTGTTTCCCAGCTGGTGTCTGCCCACCTGGTTTGGTGCGTCTTGGCTTCCCCAATGCTTGAGTCTATTTGCTTTCCTTTGTGTAAAGAAAAGCCACGTAAAAGTCTCGGGTGCAGGGAATGTCCCTGGATGCTCACCTTGCTGGCCTGGAAACAGGGATGAAGAGCACAGGGTGGTGCTGCACGAGCACAGCCCCTGCTCTCAAATCCCCCTGCTGTTCCCCATGCACACCCACCACCCCATCTTCCTCCCTCCCTAGCCCAAGCCAACCTCTAAAATAGGACTGAGAGATGAAATCAGAAGAAGAAGGCACTGTCAGATGCATGAGTCAGAGCCATCACGCTGTGACACTGTGCCACAGCATTAGCAGGGACACCAAGGCCGGGAAGCACACGGTTTGGTCTGAGTTTTATTCAGGATTTGGGAGTGGCAGTGATGTTGCTCTGGCAAAGCCCCTCAGAGTCCAAAGGGAATCCCCTTCAGGGCTGGATCCTGTTCTCACTGCAGCTGAGCGAGTTTTCCAGGGACGGCTGATGCTGGAGGCTGCTTTCCTGTCCAGGCAGTGTTAGGAGGGAGGGCAATGGCCCCAGCCCTTGTACATGGCCCCAGTGTTGACATGAGGGTGTTTTGGGGCAGTCTGGGCTGATATCTTGACTTTCACCTGGAGTAAGGGAAGGTGAAGCCCTCAATCCCCTCGGTGCTGTGCTGCTGCACACACCGGTGGAGTGTGAAGAGCTCCAAGGTAAAAACAATCCTTCCTCAAGGGTTGTATTTAACCTGGATTTCCCTCAGGTAGAGGTGTGGTTGCTCTGCTAGACACTACCTGAGCAACCTGCTCTTTGCTTCTCACCAGGTGAGAGATTATTCCTTATCCTGCAATGACATCTCAGTTTAATTTCTATTTTCCGCACTGCTAAGCCTGTCTTTAAGGAGAGGATGCACTCCTGGATCTCAGCCATCATCCAGCACGGGAAGAGAAGTGTTTCAGTTTTCTGAAGTGCATTAAGGACTTCAAGGAGCCTGCAGTTATCTTTGGCTTTTATACCTCAAACTCTGTCCTTTTGTTCTCCCTGGTGTGGTTTTTTTTTCCTCTCAAGTAACAGAACTGGTTTTGTGTTAGAGCAGCGACCGCTAACAAGGGTTGGGGAGCACTGACGAACCCTCCCCGCTCAGAGACGACCTAAAATCCTAATGAAAAACCCCAAACTTCAAAGAGTGAGTGTTGCTTTTCATCTCAATAAAGTTTCTTTTCCTAGGACTGGCTTTCTCAGCTTCCTATTAATCTTCCAGCAGTTCAGAGTCGGGTTTTAATTTGCAATAAGAACAAGCAGGGGCGGGGAACGAAAAAAAAGCTAGGAGCACCTGGCTGATGAAAACTGACTTTGATTTTGCCCTGTTCTTAAATTAATTTTAGCTTTTCCTTTGCAGTCTCATCTTTTTTGCAGTGACATCTCAATGTCAGGTTTTCAGGGGTACAAAATCCTGGCTGCTAAATGCCACATTGCTGAAATACTGTTAGCAGGAGGCACAAACTGGAACTGTCCACGATAAAGCACTCGGGGGCTTGGGTTTAAAGAACATTTGCTATACCTGGCTTGGAAGGACAATGCCTGGAGCCATCTAAAGCCACCTAATGAGGGTGTGTTGCCTGCTGGGCACAGGTGGAGAATTCTCTTTAGCAACCTGTTTTGCTGCAGTGATTACTGTAAAATTTTACCATGGAGAGGGTTTCTTTGAAAGCAAAGTGACTCTTGTCATTAGAAGTTGAAAGGCCAGTGATTTTGAGAGGAGAATAAGGCTTTTCCTGGAGGGAGTGGGGTGTTTGGGGGGTGTAGCCATGCTAGAGGGGTTACATTCTTTTTCTTTGGGACAATCCTGTGCATGGGCATTCCCTCAGGCACTGGGGGTGCTGCCTCTTGGACCGGGAAGGCAGTTTTTGGGGGGCTGGAGATGCATCCCTATCACTTCTGTGCCAGTTTTGTGATGAGAGCTTTCCACTCCGACCTCTTCTGGGTGATGTAGTAGGGGGTGAGGATCTGCAGCAGAGGCTCCATCCGGCCCTGGAAGTAGCCACGGCACAGAGCCTCGGCATTGCAGATCACGTACATCCCACAGTCGTAGCTGTTCTGCTGCGCCGGCGCCTTCTCCTCCACAAAGGTGGCTTTGCCCCCTCTTTTTCCCAGAAAGGCCTCCAGTTTCCCTGCCACTTGCTTGGCATGGACAGAGTTACATTTACTGTGAGAATCATAATGAGCGAAGCACTTCTTGTCCCTGAAATAAACCAGTAAGCTCCAGTGGGTGCCCCCAGCGGCCTGGCTGGAGTTGTCATTGATAGGCAGGAACAGCAGCTCCTTGCGGAGAAGGTCCAGCGGCTGGAGGAATATGGCTATTTCTTCCTGACTAAGGGCACACTTGATGAACTGAGCCACCTCAGGGCCGATGAAACAAACACGGTGGCTGAACTCCTGGAACTGCTGGTTGGAGAAGTACTCGAAGGCGAAGCCGATGATGTGGTCGTTGAGCCAGTTCGGGGGCTCCAGCAGGGCCACGTCCGACTGCCTCAGCAGGCTGTCCATGTAGCTGAGAACCACGGGATCCATCCTGCGCTGCTCCGGGGAACCGCCAGGGCTGCAACACAGAGAGGGAACACGGGCTGGAAACTGGATCACAGCTGGGATGTGATACAGCCCAACAAACACCTCGAGTTCTTTCACAGCAGCAGTAAGCGAGAGCCCAGGACTCCCAAACGGGTATTTGCAGGACCATGAACAATCCTGGGTTGCGCAGCAACCTGCTGTGGCTCCAGTGAGATCAACCATCCACCCTGAGGATCTGAACCTCACAACAAAGGAGTTTCAGAGCAGTTCCTGCACAGAAACTGGGAGTGAACCTGAAGTCAGGCGGTGCTTGGGTGTCTCAGTGTTTTACCTGTGCAGTGACAAGCACTGCAGTTCTTTGCACCACTTGTATTCCCCTAAATAAAAACGTTTTTGGGCTGTCTGACAGACATACGGTCCCTTTCTCCAAGCACAGTGTCCCAAATCAGTGCCAGAGGCATGACCTGTTCCAGGAGAACCTGCTGGGCCACCAGCACAGGAGGCACAGCCATGAGTAAGGAGTAACAAAGCAAGACAAGATCACAAACAAACCAGTTCCCAACCATGGGAATCTGTATGATAACTCTCTATGTAGCCAGAGTAGGATTTAGGAGATTTTCCATAGGGAAATTTGATTTAGAGCTCCTAAATCTACCCTGGTTTTCCTTTAGCTCTGACACCCTGCAGCCCTTCCAGGCTCCTCAGTGCCGTGAGGCATCCGCAGCCTCTAGCTCCTTTCTTGGCCAGGACAGGGCTGGAAATGCCACAACTTGGGACAGAGGTGACAAGGAGCTGGTTTTGGCCTCACCCTTCCCTCCTCTGTCCCAAAGGCAGCACGAAAACATCTTCAGATTTCTGAAAGCCTCATGTGAAAGCTCAGAATGATAAGATCACTTTAATATGATTCACTATAAATAAGTCACCAATTTTCCATCATGATAAAGAGGAATGAAGCAAATGGAGTGTTCTGTTAGGAAGAAGTAGATTCACACTTCTTATTGTGACATGAATCATGAGGAATAACCCTTCCTGGCCTGAGATGCATAAATTAAGGGATTTATCTCTCAAAAATCTTGGCAAGGTCCCCTGGCATGTGACAGGCAAGGAACAGAATGGATGAGGCATGGTCCACGTGTAACACATCGGAAGGAAGGACCGAGGTGAGTGTTTGGAACATGAAACAGCCAGTGAGCATTTCTGTGTGGCTGGAGGATCCCAGAGATGCCGAGCAGCAGGAGTCACCAGAGGAAGGGAGCAGCCCTTGTTTATGCTGAGCCAAACACAATGGTATTTGGACACACTTCCGACCTCAGTGTGCTCCATCTCTCCAAGCTCGTGGTGCAAACCCTTGTAGTATAAAAACTAGAAATCCAAACAGAATCCCAGTAGCTCCTCAGCCTGCCTGAATATAGCCTGGTTTAAAGATCTGGACATCCTCCAAACATCCTGTTTGGGGGTTTAACATGGGCACTGCTGAAATACTTGTATGTGCCCATGAAATGCCCCAAAATTTCCTTTACATTGTGTTCTTTCTGCTTCATCTTCTCCTGGACATGTAGAAGTGCAGCCAATAGCTTTCCACTCCACTCCAAATGGAATTAAGGGCAAAGGAAGCGTGTGTCCCGTGCTCTGTTAATTTTCCACTCTGCAGAAACATCACTGAGTTTTTTTTTGTTTTTTCTGTCATGACATTTGGCAGGTTCCCCCAGTCAGGAAGGAGAATGCAAGTGCTTAATTGCCACTAGCTACTACTTTTAATTTTATTGCCATATGGTATTTGTGAAACTGCCAGTGAGTTCCCTGGGATGACTCACCACATGCAGCTCCAAGGAAAACCCTTGGGAGGCTCCCTCAGAGCGGGTCAGGTAAGCAGCAAGGACCAAAACAACGTGGTGAGGCTGTGAAAAGCCACTGGTAAGGTGGATTTGTTTGGGAGAACCTCCCATAAGAGCTAACTATGGATCTGCAGAGGAGCCAGGATGTGGATCTGAGCCTCTGAGGAGTGTTGAAATCCCGACATGGATTGGGAGCAGCTCTGCTCAGCCACAGCCATGACTCTCTTCCTGAAGGTTCAGGCATGCTCTGTTCAGTTTCCATAAAAATAGGAATAAATACTGGCACAGGCCTGCAACATTTGCTGGAGCAGCCAACAAGTGTCTTGCTCGTTTGTTTTATTTGCATATTACTAGCTGGAAGTTGTGCAAATTCCCTGGAATCCTCAGCTCCTCAAAGGGATTTCAGCTGCCCTGTTTCCAATGCTGAGATGAGGAAACCAGGGAGAGAGAAAGGAACATTTCAATACCAACACTATCATTTCATTTACAGATTTGAAAACGGTGCTTTGTTGCATCAATAGGGCAAGAGGTCAAGTTTCCCTCACTGAAGTTAAAGTAATTTAACAAATTAGCTGCTGACATTAGTGCCAGTTCAATCCATGAATGGATAGGGCTCTTTCACGTCCAGATGTGAAGCAAAGCCTGTGTTTTCCAACACTTGACCAAAAAGCACACCAAACCTGTCATTTTCACACCATTAAAAACAACAACCCTCTGCAGGTAATTGTTGAAGGCACTTGAGAGACCAGGAACGAGACTCCTTAGTAACTGAGTGTAAAAAGGCAGTGACAGAGCAAAGGGAGTGTGAACTAAGGATGAATCAGAGTCCTAAAGTCTATTTTAATAAATTAAAGGTGCTAAGAATCCCCAGGGTGAATAGTTTAAGGTGACACATCACTAGAGTCCTGTTCCTAATTTAAAGAACATGGAGGTAAATAGGAAAATGGTCACCTGGAAGACCAAAAATACAGACTTTATCATGGAGCAGGAGGAAGGACAGAGAAGGTTTTGTCTTTGAAAGATCAAGAGTAGAAGACCCTACGGTTTAACTTTCTATTCACTTTTCCTGGAAATATGGGGCTTAGATTCCACATCTGGATAGTTGTTAATGGAGCAGGATTAGTCAAGGAACATTAATTTCTATTTACCAGCAGGAGCCAGGCTGGGTGACACCTGAATCTCTGGACTTACGTGTTTCCTGACAGAGCCAGAGGAGAAACTCAAGGAAAGTTAAACAACTCAACCAGAACAGAAGCACAGTTGTCTCCTTTTTTGTTAAATATAAGTAATCTCTCTACAGCTGTAGGTTTTAATCCCTGTATGATACAAGAACATCCCACTTCTGAAGGTTCAACAGCCATGAGTGCTGAAATGAGAGGAAAATACTCCAAGCTCTCTACTGACTACGCCCAAACTTCTCTGTTCTGGGCAAATTCCCCAAACCAGAGACTCTGCAACCAATCTCAGAACCTCTCTTGGTGTCACAGCATCTCCCAGGGCATGTAACCAAGAGCCACAGCAACACCACCCAATTGTTTTTGCTCCCCAGGATGGGGTTGACCAAAATCTGGAGTTTAACAGGAAAAAAACCCTCAGCGACCAGAATTCCTGAGGATGAACAATGGCACCGGGAACGTCCCAAAGGTACCGGTGGGATCGGTACCGGTGGGATCCGGCTCAGATCCTTAACCAAAAATGCCGATGCACTCACCCCTCACCTCCCACAGAGCGGGTCTAATCGAGGGAGCAGTAGGAAGCACGGGGAGGGAATAGAGCTTGCCTGAAAGACTTGGAGGTCACAGGAATTGGGTCAGGAGCGGGAATTCTGTCAGGGGAAGCGGTTCGGGGTGTCCCAGGCCTCTCGGAGGAACAGCGCCGTGCTGACCCCGAGCGTCTCCCGGTGCCGGGATCAGAGCCCCGGGAAGACTTCGCTCATCCCATCGCTGCCTTTATGTGACTGACCGGGAATTACGGGGCCAGGAGAGAGTGCACTCGGGCCAGGCGCAGGGTCAGGGCCTGGCTGGGATGGGAGCAGGGACCACCCACAGCACCGTAACTCACCTCCACTCCTTTACCCATCTTACCCTTGTTTTTCCCCTTAAAACGCGGGCTCGAAGCTTCCGGACCCGAGGCCGGCCAGCACCGACCTCCGGCGGCTGCAGCGTGCGCGACCCCCGGACCTTACCGGCACCATGTCCCGCCGTGTCCCCTCCCGTGTCCCCCCGGCTCTCACCCGCCGCCTCATCGCCCGCCGCCGCCGCCGCTCGGTTACCGCGCACTGCCGTAAAGCGGCCGCGTCGTAACGACAGGGAGCGTGTCCAAGGGGGCGTGTCCCGGGCGTGCCTGTGGCGGGGCGGGGCGGTGCGCGCGCCTCCCTCCCTGCCTGCCTCCGCCGGGCGGGCGCGTGAGGGTGGCGCGCGCGCGCGGGCAGTCGGGCAGCGCCCGGGCGGTGGCGGAGGCGGCGGGAGCGCCCGTCCGCACCCCCCCCCCCCCCCCCCCCCCCCCGCCCCCTTCCCGGGACCCTTCTCAACACCGATCCCCGGGACCCCCGGACCTCCCTTAGCACCGATCTTCCTGAGCACCGAGCCCCGGGACCCTCCTCAGCACTGACCCTCGGGACACTTCTCAGCACCGACCCTCCTCAGCACAGACCCCCGGGGCATCTTTTTAGAACAGACCTCCTTCAGCCGACGACCCTCAGGACCCCCTCGGCGGCGGCGGCGGCTAAGGCTGCGGGCGAGGGATGCGCCGCGCCCCGACACCCAGGTAAGCGGTGGCGGCGGGGAGTGGAGCGGGGCGGGGGCCTCCGGTGCGCGGGTGAGGTGTTAGCGGCGGGGCGGGGGTCGTGAGGAGAACCCCGCCGGAGCATCGCGGGGCCGGCAGGAGCCTTTGTTCGGCAGAGGAGGGCGAGTCTCCCCGGCGTTGTGGGGTCTGCCCGGTGTCGCGGAGTCCCCCCGGTGGTGTGGGATTCTCCTCGCCGGAGCCGCCCCCGGTGGGTGCGCGGTGAGGGGCGGCCCCGCGCCCCCCCATGCCCGGGGGTTCACCCCCCGGTGCCGTTCACCCTCACCGCGGGTGGGTTGGACCCACAGAACATGGAAAAATAAGCCTGGGGGGAGGAGATTTACCTCAGAGGCGTCCCCAGTGTCACCAGTGGGGCCGTGGGCTGTAGCCCTGTGTGGCTGTAGCCCTGATGCCATGGCTATGGACATCGCGACGGGAGCGGGTCGCGGTCGCCCGCGGACGCCCCATGGCTCCGGCAGCCCGGTACGCCACGCAGAGCCATTCCCGAGTCCCCATCAGCCATTCCCACCCGTCGGAATGAGGCATACCTGCGTTTGCCTAGCACACTCTTGGACTTGACGGCACTTCCTACCCTGGCACGCCGGACTCTTGTGGGAGCGCTGCTCCTCCGAAGGTTAAAACAGTCGTTATTTTTTTCCGGAATTTTCCTAAACGTAGCCAAAACGGCCTTTGCTTTATCCCAGAAAAATAAATCCCCTCAGACATGACCTGCGCTAGGACCTGCCGTGAGTTCGGAGCCGGGCGTTTTGCCGCCCTTCTGCTTCTCCATCGGCCTCCTCCTCCTCTTCCATTTACGTTTTCCTATCCCCAAATCAAGCCGAGGTTGATAAAGCGGGGAGCGTGAGCTCAGCAGAAATCATGGCTTTGCCATCCCTCGCTGCAGCGCGGTCTCTGCCCATCGGCGGATCAAAAAAATAATCACGTAGCGGCAGAGGAAGGAGATTTGCTGCTACGGGAGGAAAAGCGGCGCGGTGTCTCGCTCAGTCGATAACCAAGTGCTGTAATAAATCGCTCTGTAAATAGATTGCTAGGTGGAGAATTGGGTTTCTGGCTGGCACAAGTGCTTTCCTGACTTTTCCCGTGGGACTGCTAGGAAATGACAGGGGAGCGTTGTGTTCCCGTGGAGAGGTGCGTGGATGCTGAGGTGATGGGCTATGAATCCTTAAGCATGACCTTACAAATCTGAGCTTATCCATAAACTCCAGCTAGGTCAGAGTCTGCGTTATCCCTCAAGAGCATCATCTTTTCAGCCCCTCACCCTATAGTCACACAATTTCCCCTACTTCCTTGAGTAAACTCACCAATTTCAATGACTTTTCTCATTTTAACATTTTATTTAATTAAAAGAGGGTTTTCCATGCCTTTTCCCCTCACTAAGGCTGTCCCAGTCTTTGCCCTCCCTCCTGTAATTTTTGATTCCCAAGACCATTTTGGAAGCTGTCAGTCAGGTTGCTGATGGCAGGGAAGGTAATTCAGCAGCCCCAGCGCACAACTAATAGGCTTTTGTTTCCTGGGCTATCGATGATGGTGCAGCTTCATATTTGTTTTTTATTTATTTATGTATTTATTATGATCAGTGCATAAATCTGTGTGGCTCTAGAGATTTTTCCTCTGTATTGAAAGGCCTGGTATTCATCAGCAGCACTTGGAAAAGGCTATATTGGAATTCATCATATATTTAAAATGTAGATCTGTTTTGTGAAGTTTTTGTTCTGTGCACCCACTACTCCTGTTATGATTTATAAACTCCACATTTTAACCTTTTTTTTCCCTTCTCATTTTGGATGGGGAAGCTGCATTTTAAGGTTCAAGTTATCAAATGCCTGACATGACCACTACTGTTACAGCATCTTTCACAGACACTGGTACTGAACCACTCAGACAGTCCACCCTTTGGGATCCTTTGCCAGGCAAATCTGAACGCTTTATGCCTAAATTATTTGTATCTGGGATGTTTATGGTGTATTTTGTGAGTGTTGATCAGGTTTACAGGAAAACCCCTGAGAATGTGAAGCACCTGAGGTCGGGCACTTGGGAAGTGTGAAACCCAAGTTACCTGTGCAGCCTTAATTTAGTTCGTGTCAAGATGTGGCTGGACTTGAAATCCTCAGCCCCTGCTTGATTTCTGGGAGAACAGTATTCTGCTCTGGATGGAAGAACAGATCACTCCTTCACATGCCTGCAAGTCAACAGGGGGAGTTTGGGGAGCATAGGGACAGTGCTGGTCCCTCCACTGGTTTTACAGCTTGGCACCACCAAGCTGGCAAGGAGCATTAGGGTTCTCCATCACAGGCTTGGGACCACACTTGTCCTGTAGTCCTGGAGCTTAAATACCTCAAGTCTGGGGAAACCAGGAGCAAACTTTCAGTGCCTGAATGGGGTATACAAGGAAGCTGGAGAGGGACTCTTCTTCAGGAGCTGTTGTGCCAGGACCAGGGGGAATGGCTTTCTGCTGCCAGAGATTGGGGTTAGATGGGATATTGGGAATAAATGGTTAGCTGAGAGCGTGGTGAGGCCCTGGCACAGAGAAGCTGTGGCTGCCCCATCACTGGAAGTATTCTAGGCCAAGTTGGAAAGGGCTTGGAGCATCCTGGGATAGTGGAAGGTGTCCCTGCCCATGGCAGAGGGTGGAACAAGATCAGCTTTTAAGGTCCCTTCCAGCCTAAACCAGTCTGGGATTCTGTCATTCAAGTGTGACCAGAGAGTTTCTAAAGTCGTTTGGGTTGGTTGATTTTGGTGAGCATAGTGTGGCTGTTTTCTGCTCAATTCTAGTTCTTGCTCTAAACCCTGCAACTTTTGAACTCAAGTCTCTTAAAAATACATTTACGAGGGAGCAAACAAGGTTGTTGAACCACTGGAAGCATCTTAGCCGGTCAAACTTGATTTCAGAAATTCCTGCGTCCCCTCGGTTTGTAAATAAAAGGGAATTTGTGTTCTTTCCCACTTGCACGCGAAGCACCGGGGCTGAAGGCATGTTTGTTGTGTTGCTGATGAAGCTCCCAGCCTGGCCCTGGACTCTGGCTCCCTGGCATGGGCTGGGTGCAGGTTTCAGCTTTGGAACATGGTGTGGTTTTTGTGCTGAGGTTTAAAACAGCATCTGAATTTCTCAGGCTTTGTCCTGCGTGCTGACGTTTGCTTCACTTCCTCTCGAGTGAACGGGATTTCTCCCCTCTCGACAAAGTAAACATGAGCATAAATATTTAAAGGATCACGGCTCAAGTTTGCAAATTGGAGACTTTCTCTGACATTCCTTTGGACAAAAGCGGTAGCATTGGACATTTGGGATGTGTCTGGGTGCTTCTCTGCTCTGGGGAGAAGCTTGGTAATAATTTGGGTTTCATGCGGCAAAAATACTCTGCTGTGTTTTCAGGTTAGGTGGCTGGGATTCTTATGGAATTCTAAGGACACAATGCTGCTGATAGGATATCTGTGGATCATTGGAATTGGGATTGTTTTTGTGGAATTTTATTTTTCTACTACACGGGCCAAATTTTTCCATAGGCTTTGGGTTTATGTGTGAAGGCACAGGTGGTCAGAGTTGAGACTATAGAAACCAAACATGTGAAACTCTTGCCAGATAATGGATAAAAACAGGAAAAAAGGGAAATGGAATAGTCTTTGTTTTCTTTGTTTGACTCTTTAATATGAAATCTTGAGCTGTGTTTGACAGGTTGAACACCATGGCGATATGTAAGTCTCATTCCTGTGATTGTGTACATGTCTTAACCTCTGTGTCTTGGAATTAAACTTTTAAAAGAGGAACTCAGCAAACCACCTGACCTCAGAAAATATGAAAATTCAGGAGGGAAGGCTACTGAACATGGATTTCTAGAGTTGAACTAATTTTTGTGTCTGTTTTTAAACTATTACCAAGAGTTGCCATTTTGTTAGACCTTGTGGTAGCATTATTCTGTCTGTGGGGAGGAATCTATGGATTCCTTTTTCACAAGTACCTGTGGAAATGTGCATCCCTTTGGGGAGGGATGGGATGTCTCTTTGTGTAGGGTTATCATACGCCTTTGGCTGTTCACACTGTGCCTAACCTAGACAAAGCCATGGGTCATAGTTTTGGGCTCTGTTGGTGTTTTTTGTCAGCCCTTTTTTAGAGTTTTGCCAAGAGCCTCATGAAGAGACAGAGTGTGCCAGGCAAATTTTTTGCCAAGGGAGACGTGGCTGAGGAGTCGAAATGCCGTGGTGCCGCAGTAGGACTGCAGTGAGGCCAGGTCATGTCGATGACCTCATGGAAAACAAGGAAGATGGGAGCTACAGGAGCTGATGAGGCAGGCAGTTTATCCTGGGCAGATACACAGTGTGTCCAGGTCTGGCTATAGATACCTGTGCTGTCTCTGCATTAAGCACTCAGATACAAACTTGAAGTTTGCTTGGACCCTTTGAGATCCATCTCTACATCCTCCCAAGGAATATTGATATTCCTTAATTGCATCCTTTCTCTGTTGATGTGAGATCATCACATGGGGAGCTCAGCCAGCTGTGTCTCATCCAAGCTCTCACTCACCTACAGAGATATGTTGCTTTTTTTTTGCAGCTACATGCCTGACTTAAAACAACATGCAGGCATAGATCTGCTGTGGTCTCCTGTCATCTCTCTGTTGGGTTGTGGTGTGCTTTTAAAGATCTCTTCCAGGTCATGGAGGAAGTTTATGAAATCCTTGTTGGTGCTAAGAGCCCTAGGGATGGGCTGGCTCCATGTGTTGGTGATCCCCTTTGAGGGGAGGGACTGGACTCTTGCAACCCTGGTAGTTTTGGTGGTTCCAACAGTCTGCTCAGCTTCTCTTGGAAAGAATGTCTTTCTTTTTCAGGGTTTCTATCCCTGTGGCTTGCAGGAGTTGCTGCAAATCCCTGTTAGGAGCAGTAGGGAGCAGAGCAGGGAACTGTCCCACTTGGATGCTGCATGAAGTAGTAAAGGAAAAATGTAGTTTAAAATAAGCAAATGACTTGGTTAT